TCACTCCCAGCGATTCGGCGCGCTGGAGCGACTTGGGCGTCAGGACCCCAGCGCGCTGGCCCGTCTCCGTGCGCCGCGGAACACGCGGCGAGTCTCAGTGGTGGTGCCCACGTCGAGTGGGCGCAGGAAGTCCCTTGAGCTGCACGTCAAGTGAAAACATGATTTTTGAATTGTCTTCCTGTTCTTTTGTTTGTTTCTATTAGCGATGCCCTCCACCCTAGTAGCGATGGCCTCCACCCTGCTCTCTGTGTTTGTGTGTGGCCCAGTGTGTGTGTGTGTGTGGCTGTGGCTGGGAGACATGTCTGGAGACCTCCAAACACCATGAAATTCCCCGTCTCAGGTGGTGTGGACCTGCTTGCTTAACGAACAGCGGTTTCCACAGAAGCAATCTCAAGAGCACAGCACATCGGTGCTGGCTATCCCTCTGCAAAACTACACATAGACACCCACTTTGGAGAGGAAGATCCTCAGTCTCAGTCTGAGGTCGATGTCCCGACGATCGGAACAAACAACAAAGACCGCACCTACAGTGAACTGCAGTCCACCGGAAGTGTTCAGACCTTGTTGCGGAACAGTATGGGAGATTTGGTTGCCAGGCTGAACATCTCGAACGCAAACATTTTCCATGATCCGGTTTGTATGCATTTATTGGGTAGATATCCACCCCGGTGGTGGTGGTGGTGGTTTGTAGTGCTGGTGATCCATACTTATGAATAAGGATGATGTTCCCCATTAACCAACATGTTACACCCATGGACCATTGTATGTCCGTTTTGATTTGAGAGAATTTGGGTCTTTCGCGACGCACGTCTTCGATGCTTCTTTTGATGTGAGGGATAGACTTTTGGGAAGACATCTCTTGAATGTCCCATCTCCACAAGCCCACACAAGCTCAGACATCAACAAGGATGCAGTATGTCACATCATGTCACATCAAGACTCAAGTGAGACCAACAAAGAAAGCATCTTTGTCTGTAGCAGAGATATCCCTAGCGATTCCATGCCGAGCAAAGAACCCTTAGAGCAGAAGCATTGCAGCGTCGTTCAAGCTTGGCACGAAGGTCGAGATTTGATGAAGCCGTACTTGTTCGAAAGCAAAACCGGAGTCCCAGACCATATGTAAAGTGGTCCTGACACGGCAACCCAAAAATGAATTTCCTTTATATACTTGGATGACTTCCATAAAATTGTCGAACTGCCAACTTCTAGGGAGAACATTTTGGGACCGAATCACACAACTCACAAAATTCTGCGGAAACCTAGAAGACTGAAGTCAAGGGAAGAAGCATAGCCCTGGGCGTACGCTCGGGATGTTTGTTATAGGATTGGCCAAAAAGAAAGGAGCCCATCCCTGTGTCCTTGTGCGTTCTCACGCAGCGCAGCTCGCTGGGCTTCAAACGCGAAAGCAACCGGCGGCCTCCGTCTCCGCCGTGACACTCAGGTTTCACCCGCAGCTCTGGAGCTGTTTCAGCGCCCAAGACTGGCCCGAGAAGGAGCTGATCCTCATCGAGTCCACCAAGGCGACGTCCAAGCGGACCGAAAACGAATCAGGACGACGCCGCTCGTTGTGCGGCCGCTACTGACCCAACTGGGCCCTTGGTGGTGTTTGATGAACAAAAAAAAGGAAAGTTCTTTCCCCAACCCCTTGGAAAAACGACGTTCTGTCAAGTAAAAAGAGCATTGTGTTCATTCCTACTAACAGCTATCAACGACGAAAGAAACGGCCACGCCACAGATGGCTGCCCAGAAGTCGTGGTCCATCCAGCCCTCTGGCTCTTTCACCTTTCCCAGGCCGGCTCGCGGGGCTCCTCTCCCCGGGCGCGCTCACCTGACTTCTCGAGCTTGGCAGCGGAAGATGAGAGGATCCTCTATGTCCAGTCGACGCCTCAGTAGCTTCTTGTTACTAGTAAGAATGCTCCTAGTAGCGATGCCAGGAGCCCCAAGTAGCTTCTTGTTACTAGTAAGAATGCTCCTAGTAGTAAGGCCAGGAGCCCCTAGTAGTGTCCTTGCTCCTAGTCTATGTCCAGTCGACGCCTCGGTCAGCGGTTCTGATCGATTGACGATGGAAGAGAACATCGACCTGATCCTGGTTGCTACAGCGTAAACGATTGGCTGCTGGGCGGTCGTAAGTCATCGAATCCTGGTAGTCTCAACTTGAGAGGCCGCACGAAGCAATCAACCCAAATCACACGCCTTTAAAAGGATGACTAGTCACTCGTTGGAAGGTGGTATGCTCCAAGTCAATGGACACTGGGTGGACTTGAGGGGTATCCATATGGATCCTGAACAAGCAAAAAAGCTTGGGGTGAGAAAGTAAGTTAAACAAGTGTCCTTCCTCAAATCCAACATAAAAGCATCACGCCGCCCTGGCAAAATGTATGCCCCATCCCTCATCTTCACAGGAAATCCATGCATCATCAAAGTAGGCGCCTTGGAAGACAAACACAGCCCCTTGAAAATCCAACATGAACTTCAAAACCATCAGGGAACATCGTTTTGCACTGATCTTCCCGGATTCTTTGTTTTTCGAGCTGACTGTCTTTTCAAAGAAGCCAGGTTAGACCACCAAGATGACTTTGTCCAAAAACTGCATCTCATCCCCAAGAAACTCGGAAATCTTTTGAGGCTGGAGGACGAGAGCCTCAGCCTCGGCTGCAAGCGCAACTTGGGAATCTTCTTGGCCTCAGGTGGGGGGGAAAACCAAAAACAACAGCGAGCGACCGGACCGAATGTCCAAACACTGCTGAGTTTCACAGGGCTCAAGGCTCCATGGTGTCTTTTCGGGGTGTTTTTGTTGGGGTGTTGCAAGACAAGACAAGCACCAAGGGCTTCGAAAAACGAGCTCCAAGAGGACCCCAGTGGTTGAGGTGTTCCGATCTTTTTAGGCTTTGGTGACGAGCACGACTTATTGGTTCCAACGGGAAAAAAACGGAAACCAGAAATGTACATGGAAGGATCAAGAATGAATCATGTGCACCATGCCACTCATGTGGGGAAAACTTCAGTTCTTCCCGATCTTCGGCAAAGTCCTGCGCCCAAGCAAACCCTGTCATCCGCCCAGTGCTGTTCAACCGACCTTGGTCTACCTCGTTTCAAGGAAAAGCGTCCCAGGTGGAGCAGTTGGAGTCGCCAAAGGCACCGTACAAGCTCCGTCCATCCGCAGGTGACGTGATCGTGCATTTCGATGACGACGATGTGTACGGCCCAAGCTACATTGCCACTGGGAAGAAGTCGATTCTTTCGCTGGTCTCCCAGGTTTCACAAAACGGTCCCACTGTATTTTGTTCAGCGCTTTGGCTTTGTTCTTTCTAAGGATGGCAGTGTGGGGGGCGGGGGGAACGACAAGGGAGCTCTGCAGTCATCGCCAAAGTGTCAAACTCCGAACAACGATGCGCAAGCGTCCCCTAGTAGCGTTCTTGTTCCTAGTAGTATGGCCAGGAGCCCCTAGTAGCGTCCGATCGCTCCCAGTGGCGATGCCAGGAGCTTCCAGCAGCCTGGGGATGTTTCGTGGCTTTGACCCGTCACGGAAGTAGAACGAGTGATTCAACATGACCTGCGCCGCCTGGTACTTGTCATCCTTTCGTTTTGGTCCCCTCGGCCCACACGGCCCGCGGCCGCCAACGTGGGGATTGCTGAGGCGGAGATGGTCTCCGAGTTGCAACGCAGCCACCCGGACCTGACGACCACCGGGTGGTGACGAAAAAAATGGCGGGAAGAGGAAGCCGAAGAAGAGGAAGCCAATCTGAGGAACATCATGAACATCTTCGTTGTGTGTTTTGTTGCGCGGAGTGTATGGCAGATCAATCAGAATCAGTCCTGGTGGTCACTCTTTTGGGGACTGATGATCTTGTGTTGAAAATCATCCAAAGCCATCAACGATGGACGGCATCCGACCCACACCTTCCAACGATGTTTTCCTAGCTTCAGTGGAAAGGTAAAAGCTATCCCCGGATGCCTTCAGTTCAGTTGACCTGGTGTTGTACTCAAAGACCCGTCGTAAAACCATGGTTGAAAGTGTTCAACCCATGAAATCGATCATTGTTTGATCTTCCTAGGCTATCTTCGGATGTCAAGAAGGAAAGATAGTTGGAGCCCAGTTGGAGAAAAGGAAACAAGTGATTCGGTCTTACATGGTTCTTCTTTTACGACTTAGGATGTCTGGCCGAATGGATTTGACGTTGCTTCTGGTGTAGGTCAATATCTCAACTGCTTTTCTGCTTGTCTTCAGCTTCTATATTTCTTGAAGTGGCGAACGAAAGGTCTCAAAGCAGTGGCTCAGCCACACGCAAGCTGGTTATCTTTGGTCAAAGATGTCGGCATTTGTCTCAGCTGTTCTTTCGATGGTTGGCTCCTGGGATGTTCAGAAAGCTTTCTTTTGTTCCCTGCTGTGTTGCCCCTCCATTCTCCTTTTTGCTGGACTTTAGGGATGTGATGTGTCTGGCACCCTTCATACCTTTCCACTTTTGCTTCAAAAGGCTCGTAAGGAGGTGTTCAGCGCCAAACTGCCCGTGCTAGGCAGGTTCAAAAGGAATTCTAGATGTTTGTCTCAACTGCAGAGGGCATGCATGACCTGCCATTGCTATCAGCTGGTGCGACCTACTCCTCCTTCCTTGCATTTCCTGCTTCCAAACCTATGGAATTAACGGAACAGCTACAATGTGGGTTCAATATCTAAAGCACTCTTCCCTTGGTTCCCCCGAGAAGTCAAAGATTTCGCTTGGATTGCTGACTAGGAAGCTTGGATTGCTGGCTTGGAAGCTTGGGAAGACCCTGTGAATCCGCACACAACACTGCTTTGACCATCCCCCCGGCGGGTTCAAAGCACCCTGGATGAGGACATCTGGTGGCCTTGACCCTGAGCGCCGCCTTGGCGAAAGTGGGCACGGTACCGGACCGAAGAGAAGACACCCTGCACATCCCTACACCACAAGTGTGGGAGACCCTTAGGAATTGGAACATCCTGCATGGAAGGAGGCGCATCCACCAGCAAGAAGGCCTTTTGGAGCAAGGGCCAAATGTTTGCGGCTCATGAAACCTGGTGTTCTTTGGTTTGCTTCGCATCGAAACCACCATGTAGCCTGCGCGGTTCACAACCAATAGGTGTTTGAAGGGTTTCAAAGACATCCAATTAAGTTCGAATCCAAACCACCATGGACACCCGTCCACATCACCCAAAGCCTTCCGGATGCTTGAACGAAGAGTTCCTGCAGCCGTGAACTTGGACGGATGAATGTTGATTCGCAGGTTGGACGGATGGCGCAGGGTTTCGCCCATTCGCCCAAGTTTGTCGGTCGCCAAATCCTAAAAGGTTCATGTTTGTCCTTTATACTGTAAGGCAGATTTGGGCGCTTTTCAAGATCTGGCTGGACCATCTCCCACTCGCAGGACGTCTGATGGGTCAAAGACCTTTTCTTGTCCGTTGACAGAGAGACTCGGGCGAGGTACAGGGGCAAAACGACCTTCTTTGTTCCGTTCAGGGTTGACTCCAAATGGTTTTTAAACAGAACAGCCAAAAAAAGAAACTTGGGCTGGAGCACCGCCATGGTTTCGAAAAGCCGACATGGACTCGGCTTCGACACCTCGACCGGGGACCACGAGGCCTGGTTCGACTTCGACCTGCGCTTGCAACGCTGCGGCTTCGTCGACCCGGAGGACTTCCGGGGTGGACGGGGTGGAAGAAGCGTGTGGCGTGTGGCATGCGGTGACGCAGAAACGGGAAGCGATGCGAAAATTTGAGAAGGCACATCTTGAGAAGGAACTTCAACTTGATCTTTCAGTGAAATGTGAAAGTGACGCAGATGAGGAAGTTCTTTCTACCAACGCTGACCACAAGGACACAAAGATACATGAGCGACATAACCACCAAACTCTAGGTTTGCGCACTTTGCGTGAACTCTTGGAGAACCACAACAGTTCCTTCTCCAGTCCCTGCTTGCCTGCCCCTGTTTTTTGCTGCTTTTGTCCGTGGTTTGTGTTCCACCTGATGCGACAAGTGTTGGCTTGAACAAGGTGAGAAGACATGCAGAAGTTCATGTGGTGGAGAGGTGTCTTCATCCAGTTCTCTTTCTTGCCAGTTGTGAGTAGTTGCAAATTGTGCGTACAGTCATGTGTTTCCCCATTGGCAAGGATAATGATTCCAAGGTTGCCACGTTGGTCAACCTGGCATCCCCGTCATGAGTATATCGTTCCCAGCGCACCTGGTTGATTGGGCAATCAAACCACCCCAGAGCTGGCGTTGATGAAAGTTTGACACGGACCAAAGTATTTGCAGACATGTTCCGTGAGTTTTCTGTGACGCTGCTATACTGGACTCTTGTGGCCAGGAGAGTAGGATGCGGCTCCAAATCAACTGAAAGGACCAGAAACCACAGGTCTTCGTTGGCTTTTTGCCTTGTACTGTCAGTTTGGAGGGCACCCTTTTCTTGAAAAGTCCATCTCTCTGCGTCGAATCGATCGCCTCCCCGGGCACCGACTCTCCGGTCTGCGAAAAGGCGCTGCAAGACGTGGATTCGGTGCCCAAGAAGCACCCGAAGCTCCGCGCGCTCCGAGAGCCTTGGCCTGGCACGGGAGCCGGGAGCCGTTTGTCGGGAGGACAAATGAAATGAGAAGAGTTCGTTTGGGACTACTAGCACTTGTTACTACTAGCGTGGCACTTGTTTCTAGTAGCTACTTGTTACTACTAGTAAGGCACTTGTTACTAGTAGTGATGCACTTGTTCCTAATAGCTTCTTGTTAGTTCATTTGGGACCCAAAAACAGAATTGGCCTGGGGCATGCCTGGAACATCCATGGAGTTGGTGAAAATGATCGAATTCATGGGTGGGACTCTCCCAGTTGGGACGGAATGTTTCAAAAGTCCATGCATGAGGTGAACATGGGAAGTTTGTTTGTTGTTAATTGGAAGTGCCTTGTATTTCGTAAAAAGACGCTAGGGTACAGTGTCTTGACCCACTGACTAAGTGGAGAAAACACGCCGAACTGCAGTGATTCGAACTGCAGAGTGCGACTCCATTCCCTCAGTGCACTGGACTGTTTGGGTGGTTTGGTTGAAGGAGATGGCCCAGATGACGAGTGCTTGTGGACCTTCAAAGGTAACAGCAACATGGTTTGCAACCTTAGAATGGTGAAATCTACTCAGTGTCCCTTCTTAGGATATCCAAAGCAACCTTGGGTTTCCATCACCCCACAACTGCCATTTGGGTTCCCCTTTTCGTGGAAACGACCAACATGGTACTGCATCTCGAGAGGAGATCTTCGGCGTGATTGGCTTGAACTTCACGCATGTTTGTTGCAGTCTAAGGGCTAGTAGCCCCAGTAGCCAGTGGCCATCATTCCTCGTCATCGAGATGTCTCCTCATCGCGGGCCCCGGCACAGCTTCCTGCACCGAGCCTGGGTATCTCGGATCGCAACCACGCGAAAGGATCACATGAGGGATGCTCCTTGTTTAAGACTGATTGTTTAGGGAATGGTTGCGAGCATTCCGGAACTTGCGTCTCGGAGCCACCCCTCGCATCTCCAATATCCTGATACTCTGCACGAGCAGGCAGTCACAGTCCTCACGTTTGTGTGGACAAAGGGTGAGACGGGTCGGGCTCGTAGAGGGATCCGGGGAGATGAATTCGTCTGGAAAAATCCACTGTCAGACCTCGAACCTCTCAGGTGTGCTTGGCTGGCTTTTCCTTGGGAGTCCTGGAATTGCTCAGCAAGCGATGTGGGGTCTTTTTCCCAGCAAATGTCAATCCCCAGAAGTTGAGACATCAAATGGACACAGGGAGAATTCCAAAGTGTTGAATTCTAGACCCACTATGTTTCTACTCACTTTTATATTACTGCGAGGAAGTTTAGGAGGCAATCTTGATGAAAGCTCACGGCTTTTGTATGAGCGCACCAAATCTGCAATATGAGGAGTAGCTTTTGCCGTTCACTTCTGCCCGTCTCAGCCGCTGCGTGTGGTGCATTTTCCACGAGGGCGAGCAGACAAGCCGCGACGAGCCAAAACGGACATCTTTGGGCAGACGAATGCAAAGGAACACCGAAGCTCAGCCTCTACTTGGGCTTGCTTGTTGAATAGTTGGATCAGCCCCACTGGTCGGGTTCCAGGCCTAGTGTGCTTCGAGCTTTCCTCAATTGGACATGGAACACCAACAAATGTTTCTTCCGCAGGCTTTTTTGGGAAGACTTGCAAGTGAGACAAGTACTTTTCACTTTACTTGCAAGTAGTGGTGGTAGGGCGGGAAAATTAACAGACTGTCATGGTCAGCCAGGTGGTCGTGAGGTTGAATGCCTTGTGCAAGGTGAATCCCTTCTTGGGATGACGGTGCAGAAAATGCAGCCGAAAATGTCTTACTCTGCCCCATTTCACTTCCCTCTCTGCAGGCTCTGTATTGGTCTACTCGATCAGCGGTTGGCCTGAACAACGGGAAACATGGTGGGAATGTGTTCCTCTGCACTTGAACAGGTGAAGAAGGTGCTGATTGCCCCTGGACTTTGGAGGGGGTAGGACCGCCGGTAGGTCTATTTGAACGTTGTCTTACTCCAAACCTGTTCGGAGGTTTTTGCAGAGCCCCGATGAAGTCTTGTGAAGCCATGCACTGGCATCGCAAGCTGCGCCAAGGAACCTCATTGAAGTCGTTCGATGCCTTTTGCTCTCACAGTTGGGGTGAGGACGGCAAGGATCATCAGAGGGTGTGCCAGGTCGCGAAGGACTTGCAGGAACATGGGGTTCAATTGTTTTTTGCTTCGTTCCTTGCGCTGATGCTTCCACCCGCATAATGGAAAGCATCCTGAAAAGACTACATGTGTTCCTATGGCCTATGGCCTATGTCAGGAGATTTTTCAGATCAGCACCTTCATGGATGAGGAACAGGTGCGTGGTGGAGAGAACCTGAAGCACCAACTGACTCGTGCAATCAGGAACCTTGGCCCGAGTTAAGACGTCAACTTGGTCTGGTTTCCTGTACGAAACAGTTGTGACATAAACGGCACAACACATGTTAAGTACGTGTCTATCCTTTTGGACGTCAATTGATTACTGCAGTTGCTGTGCTTGCTTTTGGAATCTTGGATGATTTTCCGAGTAGATGATCTCGACCCAGGAGGACAGCCTTGGAAGCTTGTAGTCGTACCCCACCACGCAGTACGTACTGCACGGAAATGCAAGGGTGTATTGAGTAGTAGACCTTGTCCCCTTTAGGACTGATCTCCAGATAGAATGTCCCACAAAGTGAATGTTTGATGTATTGCAGTATGTTTTCTCAACAGGCTCCAAGCAGAAGCATCAGGAGACATTTGCAAATGAAGATATATGTAACTCTTCTCCACATCCAAGGAACTCCATTGTCTTCATTTGCTTTGTGACAGCATCCTATTGTGAGAAGATGAAGAATGCCGATTCGTGTTGTTATCGAGAGCTAAATCATGCCAAGTGGTGGCGGAAGCGCATCATACCTGTTCTCATGGAGGAGAATGTGACACATTGGTAACTTGGTTGGCCGTTGGATCTACTCAAGCCAATTTTTGTTGGTTGTTGTTCAATTGCGGTATGTACGACTGAAACAAAAGCTATATACATGGTTTTTTGGATGCGGTTTGCTCACCAAGTTAGGCCAGGCCCACTGCAAGATCTGGAGGGCGTTGTGCATCGAGGTGGACGTTCGTTTCGGCAAGTCGGGCAGAATGCGCAGCGTTTGCGGATGCACGGCGCGCACGGCTGGCCTGAAATGGATGAACCCTCCAAAACCCAATGCTAAGTGGTGAAAGGCCAAAACAAAAGAAAACTACACTTCTGAGTGGAAAATGCTCTAAAGAGTTTGCGCTTCGCTTCGTCCCGAATTTTGGACCCAAAAGATGTCACCGGTGAGCTGCGAATTGACAGGTGATTCTGGCGGTGAGCTGCGCGACACCTTTACCCTTGTGGACGTCGCCTTGGATGTGGCCGCGTATTTGGGCAGGTTCGGTGAGGTCCAGGAGCGGGCCCGAGGTGACTCGGCGATGCAGAAAATGCATGTGGATCATTTTCCTACATGCGTTTGATTGGGATTTTTCCAATTTTTACTGCTTTCAATCCAAACCGAATAGTGATGCCTGGAAGGTAACCATAGACTCAGTTTGATGCTGGTTGGGGGCTAGAATCCAAAGAGTCAGGCTATCTCGAGAAAAGCTTGCAAGAAGAGGAAGAGAGAAAGGAGAAGCTCCAAGGCAAGATCCTCACACAGACCGAATCTTCAAGCAAAGCGAAAGGTGGATTGCAGAATGCCAGGGAAGCGTTGGACATGCTGCCAGGCGTACTTATAGGGCAATCGAAGGCCCTAACCTCACCCTTCCTGGTAAAACAACCAGGAATGTGGCGGGTCGTCAAAAGGCGCCAATTGCGTTTAGAGAAACAGCAACAAGGTAAAGAGATGTTGAGTAGCGTCATTGAGCCGCTGAACCAGCTGGATGGCCTTCTCAGCAGTGAATCTTGCATTTGCAGAAAGACTTGTTTTTTGTTTCCTGCAAAGGACAAGACGTCTACGTTTTTGGGAGTTTAACTTGTTCCTTTCAAGCCTATGTCAGGCAAAGGACCAGTTCACGAGCCGGGCATTCACCTGCCCAGCTAATAAGTCTTGCAAAGACGATGGCAACACTCTGGAACAGCTAAAGCAAATATTGCAAAAGCTTGAAGAGAAGAGTCGGCAGATTGAATCCATCACGCTTGATCAGCTCTCAGAGAATGACTTCTCCATTTTAGATGATTTGAAAGCCCTACTCAGTGGCATGCCGACAAGCAAATTGCAAGAGGAGCTCCAAGAGGAAGTCTCTCTCCAAGAGCATGACGTGAAGCGTTCCGAAAAGGCATTCAATGCTTTGACACATGAGATGTCGCAATGCACTGAGAACTGTGAAGCTCTCAAATGCAAAATTCACAGGGTCCTGCACCGAAAATGTGACACGAGTTTCCTGGCTTTTTTTCACAGGTCACCTTTTTCATTTTGGTGGACAAAGTCCGGTGTGTTTGAAAGCCTCCAGTGATCCTGGAGTGAATCTGGAGCGGTCTAACAAGCTAGAAAGCTGTACTAGACATCGTAAATCTGTCAATGCTGATCCTGCACACTTCTTGTTTTTCATCGCAGAGTCCTCGAAGGTCCCTAAGGTGCAGCTGTTTGTTGTGATACATGAAAAGCAGATGCTGCTGACATACACACACTGCTCCAGACAATGTATTAGGCTGCAAAATCTTGGTTCAGTGGACTAACCAAGCCATCCTTGGGTGAGACAACAAACAAATTGTCCTGTGGGAGAAACCAGCATTTTCTGACGAGTCCTTCCAGTAAACGCACACCATGGCCAGCTCCCAGGCTCATGGCAGAAGCTCAAAGGATTCTTGGCAAAGGTGTCCGGATGCTCAAAAGGCTCCTCAACAAGGTATCGCACAACCTTTGGGTCTGCTCCAAGTGCTTTTGGGCTGCCTTCAGGCGTCCAGTCTGAGCTGAGGAAGCTGCAACTCTAGGAGTTTGCACGAAGATCGGGATTGGATGATGGTTCTTAGTGGCTGGCTGATTTAAGTCATTGAATTCGGTAGCTTGGCCAGTGGTTCTTTCACTGAGAGCACACAGAAGTTGGCTCAGTGTTCAAGTTTTGAGGAGGTGACTTGGTTGGATGCCATTTGCGGGCGTGGGGAGTCTGCGAATGGCACTGGAACAGTTCATGGTTGGAAGAGGTTGCTGCAGAAGATGGAAACAGTCAGATGACCTGAGTGTAGGAAAGCAAGCTGATTGAACAATCGTTATTTGAATGGGTTTTCTACTTTCATTCAAGCTCTTCAGATGAAACAAGTCATCCTGCTTGAAAGTGATCGGTGGCTGCTGCGCTGTTCCAGGAAAGAAATCAATTGTTTGAAGCCCTGCGAAGTGAAGGACTTCACTTGCGTTTTTGGTTCAGGATCTACACTGTCTAATCTCCAGAACAGGAAGTCCTTTCCGACTCGCAGGCAATTAAGACTGCTAGATCCTCCAAAGCTAAAGCTGGAGTTGTCGACATGTTCCCCTTGCTGCAGCTCGCGGCGAGTTGTTCGCCGAAAAGGACACTCGGGTGGACGAAGACTGGGGAGCTGAGCTGCTGACTGCTTTTCCCAGAGGGTTATGAGCTTTGCAGCTAACCCCCCATCCTTTATTTTAGTTATTTGCGTTTACTTTCTGGGTTGATTTTGCGTGACAAGTCGTACTTGGGTTTGGGCTCAGGAAGCGAGCGTGGAAGCTGCAGTCTATGGCTATGGCTTCTCATACGCCAGGGCAGCCAAAGGGGAGCTTGGCGGTACAGATTTCCCATTAGCGATACAGAATAAATTGTCCAAAGATTGCTCATGTTTGTCTTGTGAGGAATCACTTCAGAGTCACTAGATGTTCAAAGGAGGTCGCTTTTAGTGAGACTTACACCTGCTCACCCCTTTCGGAAGCTTCATGACGACGGCTTGAACCCGTTCAAGAAGGGTGCAAGGTGGCTTGTGGTTCTCACTCACAATCACCCTCAATCCGCGTGTATTCATGTCTTCTTACTACCAGGATATGCAACAGGGATCAAAAGCTTTTAATGCAGCTGCGCTTGCTCTAGAGATGCACATTTATGTTCACGTTTCAATGGGTACCGCCACCTAATAGCCAAGCTGCTAAGATATCTCCACAGTCGGCCAAATGTGATTTCATATGGGTCCTTTTCTGGAGAGTCGTGTGGGTTGTCCGTTAGTTGCGCGGCACATGAAGAAAGTGTGTGTGTTTGTGCGGCTATTCAAACCTATAGGCTAGGTGTCATTGCAACTATCAGTCAAGGAGAGTTCTGCAGCAAATAGCATCGTTACGTTCCATGAACCTAGCAGAAAAGCCCTCGAAACGAAAGCGTGTGTTGGGTTATGAATCCTTTTTTCTGCAGAACACTCTGAGGCCCGCCCAAGATCTCAAAGGTGAAACAAAAAAGCAAATCGCGAGTGTGAAGATCACGGAGAGTTTGGCGTAGGGACAAGGCACCGAGTCTAATTCGATGGAGTTCTGGGTGTCAGCATAGAGTCCCAAACTGGCGACAAGAAGAAACCAAACACGAGGAGAGGAAGGATTGAACGAACCACGGAGTCCTAAGTCGCCCTTCTAGTTGAAGTCGGTGAAGGTGGCGCCTGCTAGCATGCTAGTTGGTCAGGGTGTTTGGGTTAGCCTGTTTTCAATGTGGACTCCCCTGCTTTGGGGGAGAGGTATTCTCAAGTCACACCGCGCGGAATGTCAGGGGAAACCCCGGCCACTCGTCCCCAGCTTGTTGCGCTACTACGGCGCGCCGTGGCAGAGGTCTATCTTCGTTCCGCGGCGATGGCACATCCCTTCCCTGACGCTCGGTCACGCAGCTTTCACACCTTTCGAGTGACTACTTACTGGACTGGGGATTGTTTGGGAAGGAACGTTTTTTTGGCACTGGTCAAGAAAGATTTTACATGGTTGGTACACAAGATTTTTGGATATGTGGAAAGCATGAATGAAGCGACAAAGAGCAAAGCAAGAAAGACCAAATAAGAAAGGAATACAGGACGGAAGCAATGAGGCAAGCAATTCAGCAAGTAAAGCCCGCCAAAGCCAAGCACGAGCAACCAAGCAACCCAAACACAAGTGAGTGCCAGCGGGCGCCGTAAATACTTGTGAATCGCCACACTGCCTGGCTGCCCAACGTGCTACAAGTACCTGCAAAAGGTGGACCGAGAAGACGTTTGCAAGACAGTTGTTGGCATTACACCCGTCCCAACATGCTGTAGATACGTGTAGATACCAGCGAAGCTTTCCCGAAAGGTATAGAAACGAGACCAAAGGTTGCAGAATTCACGAAGTTTGTTTACACTGCTTAAAACACAGTCTGTTTGGGGCACCTGTGATACTCACATGTTGATTCATACCCAGGTCAAAGAACTTTGGGAAACAAAGTCAAGTTGTTTGCAAAAGGTTTGGTATTTTATGGATGTTACTTGATTGTTGGGGGTTGATGATTGACAGTGGGAGCAATCTTGAGCGATCTAGTCTAAATTAGACCCTTTCTTTTTCCTGTGGCTGTTCCCAACTGCTCCAGCATTGTTGGGTGAGCCTGTCGTTCCGGTTCTTTGCCACTCCGACTTCCATTGAGCTGGTTTCCCGACCTCCAGAATCCTACCTTGGTGAAGTAGGAGACCAGAACACGGTTTGCTCATGCCTTGGGGTGGCCGAAAGAGCAACGGTTCCCAATCCCATTGCTCACCAAGCTGGCATACGGAAAAGTTGAGAGATGTTATTCTTTTAGCCCGCTCCCCCCTCCTAGCAATGGCCTCCAATCTAGTAGCGATGGCAGGCCCAGTAGCAGGGAGATGTTCATCCTTTTCTTTTGAAGCCATCCCTAGGCAGGCTGAAGAAGCAACAGTGTTTGTCCCATTTATGGCTCGGTCTCTTTGGCATTTTTGACAAGTGTAGGTCAAAGAATCAAAAAACACGTACAAGATGGAACTCACGAACCCGAGTGCAAAGACGTACTCGAAGACTAACGCCCAAACATTTTTTGACACTCTTGTAGGAGACACTCTTGTAGAACGCTCTTGTGGGACACTCTCGTGCGACACTTTCGTCACTCTGTGGGACACTGTGACACATAAGTTGACAGTTCTGAGGCCACAGCTCCCACAACCTGCTTCCCGCACTACATGTGTACTACGAGTTGCCAGTCCTAAGCCCACAGGTAAAGTTGGCAGTTCTGAGACGCGAGGGACCAGAAGCTGCTTCCCGCACTACACTTGTACTACCTGAAGGCGCAGCTCCCAGAAGCTGCTTCTGACATTACATTTGCGCTCCAAGTAGTGCACTCTTGTGGCACACTCTTGTAGGACACTCTTGTGGGACACTCTTGTCGGACACTTCCATGCAACACTCTTGTGGGACACCTTTGTAGGACACTCTTGTCAGCCACTCTTGCGAAACACTCTTGTAGGACACTCTTGCAGGAGACCCTTGTAGGACACTCTTGTAGGGCACCCTTGCCGGACACTCTTGTGGAACACTCTTGTGGGACCCTCTTGTCGGACACTCTTGCGAAACATTCTTGTAGGACACACTTGTGGGACATTCTTGTAGGACACTCGTGTGGGACACTCTTGTAGCGCACTCTTGTGGGACTCTCTTTGCCTACGTCCCTGTAGGACACTCTTGTGGGACACCCTTGTGGGGCACTACTACTAAAGTTTCCAAATTTTTCAAAAGTCAACCGTCACGTCTATAAAACACGCGTTTCATACGATACTCCTCCAAGAGTCACACGTCAAGTCTACAAAACGAGCATTTCCCACGAGACTTCTTCCAAGATTCACTTGAGTTTAGTGATGCTGAGCCCACAGATGCAAGGAGGTGCGCATGCAAGCTTCGCAAGACACTCCGCTTTCGACAGCAGGCGCGAGACCTGATCACCGACAGTACAGTCACCGTTGACTCTTTTGGTGGCCTCCATGGAGACAATGACAAGCAGCGCAGCAAAATCATTACATGCATGAAAGAACTGGCATCTTTGAGCAGGCGGCAGGATTTCCAAAAGGGTTTCGCACGAGACTTCCTCAAAAACTAACACTTACTCGCGCCTGGAGCATTGGTGGGCATGAGTGGCATTGGTGCCATCATCGGTGGCCTGGGGATGTACCTCAAGAAGATGAAGGATGAGGTCATCCAGGTCATGAGGGGATGGCCAACATTGAGATGAGATTGGACTACAGTGGGCCTCTGATCAGGGATAAGATCAGGCACTTCAAGACTGATACATTCAATTTTGCTTTAAACTCATTCTTCTCTTTCCTTGCTTCATTTGGTGTTAGTCCTGTTGCACTATGCACACCTTTATTATTATGAGTCAGCACGGCGGGAGAGGAGCGGCTGGAAAGAGATCCTCACGTGGGCGTCTCGACTGGCCAGCGCATGGAGGCTGCGGGCAGCTCGGCCGGACAGCGCACAGGACTCCCGAGACCGTGGCGCGCATGAAGCAGTTGCCAGACACTGTGCCCCACTGTGTCGGCCTAGGCCGAAATCGAAACGCACATCTCCTTGGGCTTGCGGGAAGCCGTGGCGCCGCATGTGGAGTATTTTTGTGGCATTCATTGTTGCAGTCGCAAGACGAAGGGCCCGCCAAAATTCCAAGGCGCCAACGAGGTGCGAAATCACTTTGCGAACCACCATCGACCGCCTGCAGCCCTGCCAAGCAGTTTCGCTATTCCAGCCACTCCAAACAACACCCGCTCACATGCCAATCCCAATGTCACAGCGACAACGCAAATCCCAATGTCCACAGCCACGTCCAACACCCCAAAAACACCACCCTCCAAACGTCAATCCGAATGTGACTGCGCAGAAAACTCACCATCTCGCAAACGCTGCACCTGCGCAGGGAATTCATCCTCCACACTTCACCTCTCATGTTTCCAATTGTTTCCTCGCTATGTCACAGGAATCTGACACGTCATGTTTCCATTCGAAACCCTCTCCAAAAGCTTCGCCGAATGTCAGCACCATAGCGCTCCACCTGCGAACGGTTACCAACGGTTGCGGACGGTTGCGGTCACTACAACAACGAATCGCGAAAAAGTCCATTCCTAGACCCCCAGAGTTAAACAAGAACCCTTCGTTACGCGCTCGGGAAAAAAACACAAAAAATAGAACACTGAGAGCAGATCGAGACCCGTGCACCTCAAGAACCCTACCAGAAGGAAATCCTTCGAACATGAAGAGTCATTAACTAGCGCCTTGGTGGGCTCAGCCAGCCGAAGACTTTCACCGCCTTGGTGCCGGAGCCAATCGTGGCACTGCGGCAATTGTGGCCAGAAAAGAGGCCAAAACAGCTGCAACATTGGTTGCTTTAAAATCAATCCAAGCGACACTGCAGTGGACATGTGTGACACCATAACTGCAAAACACTGGCTGTTTTGAGATGTTCACTATCGTTTCAGCCGTGGTTCACTATCGTTTCAGCCGTGCCCATGGAGGTTCTTGTAATTTCCAGTTACAGGGGAGAATACTGAGCACAGGAGAACCAAGCCAGTCCAGCCTCAAGTGCTGGAAGCTATGTTCTCTATGACAGCAATCCCCGCTTTGGTTTGGTGCTCGATTTCCTTCGGCGCTGAACGATGAAATCCGGCACCGCAGCACGGTACATGCGCTTCCGAGTGCGGACTCGGCCGGTCGGCTCGCATGGAGTTCTTCGACGATTGCGCCCAGGACACCAGCATGTGCGAAGATGTGGACTTCTTGCTGCGCTTGAAAGAGGCGAACCTGGAACCGATCTGTGGGGAGAGAGAGAGGACGGAGCCACGAGAGGGTGGTGAAGGGCACCTTGGCAGGGTTGTTTCAGACACCCCCTTAGAGATGGCCCCACAAGTCAATGCGAAACCATTAAAAAGACACTCCGGATATGAAGACAATGAGTTACCAAGCGAGATACAGGTCCGCTCACATCCGAGATTCCTGGCCACACTTCCACGTGTGGAAACGCGAAAGGTCGAAAAACACTTGTGGATGTGTGTGTGTGTGTGTGGCAAGTCTTGGGTGCGTTGCTTGCCGCAACCAAGTGCTCAGGTTTGGTATATGTTCAGGTTTGGTCATAGATTGAACATGAGCAGTACCCAAAAATCCCATGCAAAACGTTCAACCAATGAATTCAACCGGACTTGGTCAGCTCATGTGCCAGGGACATGCACGTAACCGGCTATGAGGGATAGCGAGGTACTTCTGTGCAGGTGGAACAAGTGGGCGATTTGTCCATCATCTTGGATGTTGTCCTTTTTCTTCAGCAAAGGGTGGGTGCTGATGCGTGTATGTGGCCTTACTTTTTTGGAAATTAAGGAGCCAAAGGCAGTACCAACAGGTTCTCACCAGGTGTTCCCCTTTGCCCACACATGCGACGAATTGTCAGAGGTTTACCAACATCGAGTGGGGCTCAAGCGAGATGAAGAGGCGCCAATGGCCTGAGATCTTGTTTTCGGGAACGCATCGTTCTGGAGAGGGAAAGGGAATCTGTCTTTACGCCCGGGGGGAGAGGGAGCTGCTTTTGCAAGAGAGATAAGCTAGCTAGTAGCTGTTAAGTAGGACCCTACTAGCTACTGGACGCAGGATAGCTCACGCCATTGATTTGGTTTCTAGACTTTTTGAATCAAAGCAAGCTGCAATGGTTGCAGTTTCAAGACTCAGTGACATCACGACAGAAGCAGGTTCATGTTTTTCCCCAATAGTTCTTGATGTCTCAGGTTTGTTGCTGTTCCTTTGAGACCTGGTGACACCTTTGGTGGGGTGAAAATCATAATCACAAACAAGGTTCCAAAGGACGTTTGCATGAACAGTTCCTTAGGATAAATCCCTTTTCCCAAATCAACATACCCTGGCATACCCCGAAAATGTCCCAACAACAGCGAAAAGGTCTTAAGTCTTACTTTCTCAAATGCATATAAACCGATTTCATATCTAGACATTTTTTCAAAAGGTCTTCAAAGGTCTTCTTTTGCAGAGATCTTGAAAGATCCAAGTAGATAGGGATCCACTTCGAATCTATGCAAGAAGAAACTACGACACCAACCAGTCCTAGAATGGAGCATTCCTGGAAGGGCATTTGCTTGCACCTCATGCACGGTGGCAACACGGCGGACTCCATGCTGCATCAATCAGTCTCCGCGCAGAAGTTCGCACCTCGGCAATAAAGCGTGGGGCTTTGTGCTGTTCGTAGCCGAACTTGGGGAGTTATATGACCTGCCGTATGGTGGCTACAGGGTTTTGACTGCTAGATGTTCATTTCATTTGATGGGGCACTTGGCAACCAGAGAAGAACTAGACCGACGTTTGATCGGGTGCGACCTGTGACGGTTTGTATCGCAGTGTGGCGACGCAACTTCATAGTGGGTTGCCACACGGCTTTGGCCTTCACGTCGTGCTTCTGTGAGTAGTCGCAGTTGATAGACACCTTCTCTTGCACCACCTCAGAACTGCAGTTGTTTTTTGTTGTTGATGTTGTGTTTGTCATTCCGGTTGATTTGGGATTATTAACAAGTGTTGGGTGACCCATGGAATTTACGTCCAGAGTCGGGAACAAAGTAGTCTTAGTGTGGGTGTCCAACCGGAAACTGAACGACCAACCAATCATGATGTGAAGGGATGAGTTGTATTGATCAACTAAGTAGCTGGCCCCTTGGTGACGACCTAAACTCTACCATGCCAACCCTTTGGAATTTGCAAACTGCTACGGAAAACGGTACGCAGTAGTTGAGGTTTTTCATGCTGTGCTTCTCAAAGCCGACCTGCAGTGGCCCATGTTGTCAATCGGTCGACTGTTTAAGTGATGTGTCAATGCAATTGTGGTTCCTGAATCTCTACCTTGACTTGTCCGAAGCCAAGAAGGAGCGTCGTCTCTCCCAGGCACAGCTTCATGTCTCCAAACTGCAGTTCCCCTTCATGGCGCTCTCACGAGATCTCCAGGAGAGCAGCATCCAAGACGTCACGGCGGTCAGTGGGGTGCTGTCGGCTCTCTTTTTGCGTAGTTGGCTTTGTTTTGTGGCTACGACTTAGGAGGCATTGTTCACATCAAACCCAACCGTTCAGATGTGCTTTCCATACTGAGCTTGAGCAGGCGGGAAATGGAGAAAAAGTTTCTCCAAGGACAAGGTTGGGGTCAGTGTTGTTCACGGATACTTGGCGGTGCATTGGGAGGTTCATTCACCAAACCTGGACCGTCCTGTAGATTTGTCGATTGGACTGTCCTTTGGGGGTTCCCCTACGCGCAACGGCGTCCTGGCGGACTGTGGACCAAATCACGATTCGTCTATGCCACTTGTCCGGCAAAGGAGCACCAATCCGAAGCAAAGATGGGGCGCTTCTTCGTGAAGGCGGAGACTGAAGAACGGATGCGACAGTTCCAGCGAACGATCCAAGAGGAGGCGCAAGTCGCGGCCCATCGACGTGTCGCAAGTCGTTGGGCGATGTATGTGAATGTGTCCGTCTTGTCCGCCACTAGTAGCAAATAGCTACTATAGTAACAAGGCACCTTATTACTACAAGAAGCTACTAGTTGGAGGCCATTGCTAGTAGGTTGGAGGCCATCGCTAGTAGGTTGAGGTGTTGTGCCCTGGAAGGAACTCCGAACCTCACTCACTAATATCTTCACTATGTCCCTTGAGAGGGCCATCCACACTCTCCGCAGGAACTAACTGTTCATAAGGGATCTTTGGTGCCGTTTCTGGTGAGATGACAACATCCTCAATGCATCCTGCTGGCAGCTGTCGGTTTTTGCCTCAAGTGGTTTTGCGAACGTTTCATTCGCTGTTCATGCATTTCTTCACTGATACAGCCAGCTTCATCATTTGCTGTCGCACTAATCCCAGGGCATCAGGGTGGAAGGAGAGTACTTTTTCAGTCCCCATCCAAGACCTAGCTTTCACTATCTAAAAGCCTAGCTTTGCTTGGTAAAACCCTTTCGCACTGAACTGGATGCCCAAATCGGTGCTGTTGGGAATCTCCCTGCTTCAGTGGACCTCTCCTCCCACGTTTTCACCGAAGCAGGTCCACTTCGCAGCCAGCTGCTTCGTGGCCCGGCGTTGAAAGAACGGTGACGACCCGAGGGGAGACCCGACCCGGTTGGTGAAATGCGAAGGTTTTTCGTTCTTTTTCCCGAAAGCATTGCGAAGGGTTCTTCCGGAAAATCCTTTGAACACTGACACTTCGACACTTACACTTCGACACTCACACTGACACACTTACACTTCGACACTCACACTGACACACACACACACACACACTGGAAGAGCGAAAGCATCCAAGTGCGAAGTATGCCAGGGTCAAAGTATGCAAGTGTGAGTATGCAAGCAAGTGTGAGTATGGAAAATATGGAAAAGTAGCACGGGAGATGTCCTAATGAAAAAACATTTCCCCACTTTATAAATTCTCTCTTAAAGGCGGAGTGTGGGACGAACAGCGTCAACCGAAAGTGCAACCCTCTGCGGAGATCGTGCGTGTGGAGTGCGCGAAATGCAGGCGAGAGTGCGATTTGTCCGGTCCGCGCGCAACTCTCTGCGGAGATCGTGCGTGTCGAGTGCGCGAAATGCAGGCGAGAGTGCGATTTGCCGGCTGTGCGCGCAACCCTCTGCGGAGATCGTGCGTGTCGAGTGCGCGAAATGCAGGCGAGAGTGCGATTTGCCGGCTGCGCGCGCAACCCTCTGCGGAGATCGTGCGTGTCGAGCGCGCGAAAGCAATCTGTGGAGCTGGAAGCTGAGAACTGGCGACTTTGTAGTACAACTTTAGTACGCAGAGTAGCTGGGGAGCTGGAAGCTGAGAACTGGCGACTTTCTAGTACAACTTTAATACGCGGAGCAATCTGTGGAGCTGGGAGCTGAGAACTGGCGACTTTGTAGTACAACTTAAGTACGCAGAGTATCTGGAGAGCTGGAAGATGAGCACTGGCGACTTTGTAGTACAACTTTAGTACGCGGAGTAGCTGGGGAGCTGGAAGCTGAGAACTGGCGACTTTCTAGTACAACTTTAGTACGCGGAGCAATCTGTGGAGCTGGAAGCTGAGAACTGGCGACTTTGTAGTACAACTTTAGTACGCGGAGTAGCTGTGGAGCTGGAAGCTGAGAACTGGTGACTTGGTACTTGGTAGTACAACTTTAGTACGCGGAGCAATCTGTGGAGCTGGAAGCTGAGAACTGAGAACTGGCGACTTTGTAGTACAACTTTAGTACGCGGAGTAGCTGGGGAGCTGGAAGATGAGAACTGGCGACTT